CAGGATAGTAATAAATGCGAGGATCAACTCAATTACACAATTGTCTAAGCCCTACGGTGGGCGCCAAACTGTTTATACGTAAAATGGTACAGTTGAATTTATATGTGGTTTATAGACAAGTGAATTGATTTGATCCCAAAATAATAAATAAATTGAATAAGAATGTAAAACTTAGCATTGAAATCGAGATAAGATAGCAGAAATTCTAGTTCCGGGAGCAGAGCTTCCGGAGGCAGTAGTAACAATATTAATAAGAAAGACGATAAAATATTAATGAACTTTGAACAGAGTATAGTATAGGTTTGTCAGAAAAATCGTGTCCCTTACAATGGTTGTTGCGCTCTATATTTATATAATTGCACATAGGGAACATGGTCCTAGGATCAAGTCCCTCTTAAATGACAATTATGAGGGTCATTGAAGAATGTGTAACGGTAGGCAGTGAATGTCATATTCTCTGTAACGCACTATGTACTTAATGTTATATGATATTCTCCACTAAATGTTACCGGGTGGCAGGCATTTATTCCGTCTTCATGAACACCATTTCTTTCAGGAACCAATGAGATCGATGCATTCGGACCTGGTTGCTTTATGTCTTCGGCTCCACGTGTTGCTTCATCATGCGAACATTTAATGTGAACATATTTTATCCTATACAGGAGTGAATTTTGTATCTTTATTTTAAAAAAATCAGACACGTGAAGTCCACCCATTTCATGTTGAAGTTCTATTAATAATAAGTATAAATAAGAGACCATTTGCTAAAGATAAAAATATGAATGGATAGAAAGTGCGATGTTAAGTAAAATTGAACAATCCGGATAGTATAAGAGCAATGTTGGACAGTTTCCTTATCATATTTAGTTCAAATACTTATTTCCCGTTTTATTATTATCTTTTTTTCTTTTTAAGTCATATGAGATAAATATGTTCTAGTAAGCTATCCACCCAAAGAAGTAATTTGAGGATAATGACAGGATGAGCATTAAAAGATTCAATACCAAGTGCCAACTCTCATCTTCTGTCCGAAGAAATGATTCGTCCAAATAATGAGTCAACATTGATATTGACACATCTTAGATCGCCAAATGCCGGGGAGTTCCTCTATTCAATCCTTTTCCTTATTCTTTTTGCTAGATATCTTATTATACATTTACTCTTTGTTTCCTGGGCCTTTAGTGAGTTACAGAGAAAGTTCGAAAAGGTTAAATCTTTAAAGATTCCATCATCTATGATTGAATGTGAAAATTTCTGGATAGGTATCCTACATCTGAATCGAATTCTTCATCCACTCGAGAAGAGGAAAAAAGAACAAATGGTTTATTGCTTGACAATTGGCAGAACTCATTTGATCTTTTCTTCTTTTCTTTCTTTCTTTATTCTTTCTTTTTGAAGCTCATTAGGGTTTCCAGATTAGGTGAAAGTTTTTTCATAATTCTCTATTTGACCTAATAGGATTTTAACAATATTTGTCCATAAATAAATTTATTTTTTGTAATTTAAAATTCTTCTTTTTTAAAAGGGACATTTCCGCACTCATTTCAGATCGTAGAGGTCGGGCTTCAGTCGAACAACCTTCTTCTTCTTCCCTTCCACTATTGAAACTATTGCAAAGTCATAAAGTCGTATAATCGATCTTTGATCTCTTTCTTATGTCTTCAAATGAAAGAAGAAGAAGCCTAATTCCCTTCTCTAGGAAAGCGTCATTGTGCAGTAGGGAATGCCATCAGATTGAGCAACTTCACATGTGAAATAACATGGTCTCTAAGCGGGCGTTTGGACATAAGAATTGTAAAATTCCGGAAAAAGGTGAATTTTTTTTTAAGTGAAAATGGTATTTGAAAATTAGAGTTGTGTTTGGACATGAATATAATTTCGGGTTATTTTTGAAGTTTTGTGAGTGATCTAAATGAAAATTTGAAAAACAGTTTTCTGGAGTTTTTAAAATTTTTGAAAAAAAATCAAAATTCATCTTCAAGTGAAAATTTAAAATTTTATGGCTAAATACTGATTTAGCAAAAAAGTAAAAAAAAATCATGGGCAAACGGGCTCTATGTATCTCAATGGACTGATTCAAAATAACAACACCTTACACCCTTCACATGTCCTTCACAAGTTAACTAACATCATATGCAAAACTATCTTCGGAGGGGTAGATGGGTCCAATTTCCAAAGCACTTACCCTAACTTCTTGAAACTTTTTCAACTTCTCTTACTTTTTGTAGAAAGGCTTCCCTTTTTTCCTTTTCCAAAGCAATGCTTAAGTATAGTTCCATTTGTTTGGTACTATTTTTTTTATTAATCAATTTTTTTAGAAAAAATGACGTATTTTATACTTTTTGATAAGAAATTTTATGATCACACAAATATGACGGGTTTAATATCATAAGTTGCAAAAAAATTTATAGCAACACTAATATTACATGTTTAAGACACACGTCTTAAAAGCTTTATTTTCTTTCTTAAACATTGTATTGAGTCAAACTATGACAAACAAATTGAAACATAGGATTTTGTAGATTGAGAATTTATAAATACATGTCTTAACCTGCTCGGCCGAACTGAAATTCTAATTAGTTTTCCCAGGCGAAGGAGCTAATTAATTTCTATAAACTGATAACGTATAGATTTTTGGCTGTTACGAAATCTAAAAGATAACTAAATATAATTGTTCATAGTAAGTATGATATTAATAACCTAAAAAAATGAGGCAGCTAACCTGCTACGATATTGTAAAAAAATTAATATTATCAATGTATATAATAAATATAGAGCTGGTACTAGTAGATGGAGCACTTAATTGTTACTGGTCCCTTAGACTTTTCTGGTATAGGATGGAAACCTCTGCCTAACCATATGAACGCTTGGACACTGATCACATGACCATAATATGGGGTCCCTTATTAAAGCTAGTTATTTCTAAATTAGGTATCATTTTACAGAGTAAGCAGACATACAAATGATGAGAGATATGACCTAATTGTGTCATAATTTAATTTTATCGAGTTTTGTATCATGAAAATCCGTTAGTTTACCTTAAATAAACCTTTGATGTGAAATTGGAGATCAAAATATCTCACGAAAAGTGCGAACTTAACTATGTTAAAGATTGCTATTTTATTGGAAGTAACTATCCAATAAAGGAGAAGCCAGCCCATTTTACATACTGAAACAACGGTTTTCTTTTGCATAACGAAATAAACAGATAACATTAGGCAGAGATGCTGATATTGGCGTCTAGATTTTGTACAGGACTGTTTGTTTGTTGTATGTCAGTATATTTATTAACCAGTTAGGCATATTCGTCTTCGCGGTAACTTTTTTTGTTAACAGTTTTCCTTTCTCTATCAAAGGGAACCTTAATGAATGGAAGGCTTGAGTCCACGCTCGGGCATTTAGGTCCTCTTTCCAAAGATATGGAGCATTCTTCCTTTGCCCTTTAATGCTCCATTGTACATTCACATCCATTTCTAAGGTAACACTCTGATTTTATTTCCTAACTTCTTGTACTAGTAACAACCCTAGTGCTTCTTCCTCTAGGACCACCTCCACAAAAACCGGATTTAGAATTTATTTGATTTACCAAGTTCGAAATCTTTTACTTTTACTTATTTTGGTAGATTTTTAAACACATATATAGGATTTGAACTAAAGACACTGGTTAACTTCTAGCTTACATCTGCCCCTGCCTGCTCAATCAGTGGAGGAGTCAGGAATGCTAAGAGTGGCATACCTAGGATTCAAACCTACACGCTAAAGCTGTTTTTTTTAGCCACAATAGCGTCTACACGGAGAATTAATTCAACAATTTATATATATGTTGAAATTTTTTATGTTTACTTTATTTGCAGTATAATTTTCAAATATATTGTTTGTACTCTTCAAAAATGCTGTTAAATCCATGTTGGGTCCTCCAAAAAGCATTACTTATCTGTCACGCGAACTGATAGCATATTTGAAGAGTCCAAGAAGAATAAATTTTCAACGAAGGGGATTCAATTGAACTCCTTTTCTACGTGCACCGTCCAAAGTTTATCAAAACTCTAGTAGGTCTCGAATGTTTAGGGCACATGGACATGTGATATTTTGCCATCAGCCTATGATGGCAGACCAATGTGGTCTAAGCAATGACAGTTACAAGGCTTACGTACACAGCACTAGTACAAAACCCCACTTGCATTAGCCGATGAGGGACATTTCTGCCATATATGTTTTAGCTTACTGTCCCAAATTAGCTCCCTATATAGAGTACTGTAGTGGGAATGGACCAATGGACATGCATGTGATATATTCACAGATATTATTGATCAGTGATGGAAAAGTTACGCCATTTAGCTGCGATCTTTGATGTTGAGATGTTGAATGCAAAGATGAAGGGTTGGGGGAAAAGTCGATCTTAGTCAATCNCTTCCCCCTTTTCCTATGTTTGAAACAGTTATTAGAACCAATTGTTAGATGGAATATGCTATTTTCATGTGGATGAGACCATTGATAATTTTACCCTAAAAAAGTGTGGTGGGTATTAGATAGAATCCCTTCGTCCTTACTTTCGAGTTTTGAAAATAAACAAATTCCCAATAGGAAGTAATTAATTTCCCTTCAATAAACCCTATGCAATGCTGAGTCTGAATTACTGGTACCAATGATTTCGAATATTGGATGCATTAAGAAAAAAACCGCCACCTTCATGCATTGCAGTTATGGTAGTTGGTTCGTGATGACAGAAATATGAAATACTATAATAATATTGTTGCTTGGTCAGTATCCTGACATGGTTGCAACTCATACAATACAAGTTGTAATAAAAAAGTTATAGACGCGTTACAATTAACAATAGAGTAAATTGGATCGCATGTCCAATAACCATAATAACTACCGTTTACATAATCAAGTCAAAAAACTAAAAATGAGAAAAACATAATATTAATATAGTAGCAACAATAGGCGAGAGATAAATAATAGGAGTGGTAATGTACTCCTACTATACTAGGTAGCATTTAGGAAATAGCCACCCAAAATGGCTCCCAGCTTGGAATCCCTTTATTCCTACTCTCACTTGCTTTGCACCTACTTGCTCTTGCATACTCTCCTACCCCAATATCATGACTTCCTAATTTTCTACCACAAATTTCATCATCTTCTTCTTCATTTTCTTCATCATTTTCATCACTATTTTCATGTTCTTCTCCAATGCTGCATTCTTCATGTCTTAATATGGAAAGCCTAAGCCTACCATCTGCACGTTCAGCTTGGAAATAAGAGTTACAAGAATTGATTGTCACAGCTTTTAATACTAAACGACCACCTTCCCGATGAGGCCTAACTTGAACACCTTCATTTCCACTCATTGATGTTAGAGGAGGTGGAAAACTACTTGCCCTATTGAATTTTTTCGTGAATTCTCGACTTTTTGATCGTTGAAAATTCGTCTCTTTTTCGGACAAGAAAGGAGACAATTCTTCCATACTTTCACTAATGTCACTGCCCGTTTCGCTTCCTAAGCTTTCAGTGCACATTTCCAAACTCTTTGTGTTGAGAGAAGAGGACTTCACCATAGGATGAACATAAACTACTTCGTCCTCTGCATCGCCTTTTTTCGGGTATTGACATGGATTTTCCAGTTCATGTATGAAGCTCCAGCCACCAGACATGTCACTATGCCCATTTTCTTCTTCACTTTCTGCTTCTTGTGGAGATATATTAGACATTTGAAGCAATGTGGTAGATTGTGGGAAATTCGATATAGGAGGAGGCAATTTGTTCATTAGGACACGTGGTTCAACAAGTGTAGGCTCTAGACAAGATTGAAGACCTTGATATAGAGTGGAAGTTGAGGTCATGTTGTTTTAGAACAATATGCAAAAAAATAAATGAACAGAGCAACAACAGGGGAAAACAGAGGATTTGGTCTACTTCTAACTAGAAACTAGAAATGTGAAATTTTTTGAGTGTTGAGAAATTCATATGCTTAAATGAGGATAAAAAAATTTCTATCATTGAGCCATGTTTGGTTTCTATAATGTACCTAGGTGATAAAGCTTATGAGGGTGGCAAATTGAAGGTAAAAATGAAATAATAATAAAAACAACGATAGAGAAAGGGAAGGTAGAGAATGGATAGAACATGAAAGAGAAGTGAAAGGGGGAAGGTTGAATTTATAGGACACCACTTGAGGGGTTTTCTTTTTCTTTCTCTTTTTCGTTTTTTTTTTTTAGGGGGGGGGGGGGGGGGAGGTTAGGGGGTTGTGGGAGGTGTTGGGGGTGGGGGAAGAGGGGTTCTCAATTTGCAAAGAGGAGGAGTTGAACTTTTGGTGCCACTAGAATTATTCAGCTTTCACTCTGCCACACAATAAATTGAGAAAAGGAACAAAGAAAAGTGGGAAGCTAGAAATAATTTGAAGTTGGACAAAAGCTCATTGGTCCTTTTTGTTTGTGTATTATTTTCTCTCTTTCTCTTTTTTTTATTTTGCAATTTTAGGTAGAAGACATCGATTTTGGCTGATTACAACAGCTAAAATTTGATTTGTGAGTTTAAGAATTACTTTTAAAGAGAATGAATTAATTAACGTGTGGATTTTGGAGGGTCATTTTCTTTTGCCATCCAAAGTGAGCCAACAAAAGGGATTCTTTCTGATATTTTTTAATAGATATTGCCTTTTCACCCCCTTCTCACTTGTGCTTTTCAACCTCCACTTATCCTATTCTTTTCTTTAACTTTGACTAGGGTTGAAAACCTAAAATTTGTCGTACATCATTTGAGTAATGAACAAAAAACTCGAATTGAGTTGAAATTATAACAATTTAGTGGTTGTAATTTTATCCTACGCTGCATGGATGCAGGCTTTTAATCCATCAAATGAACTTTCCTTTTCAAAGTTATGTTGGAAGAACTAACTCAAATAACCGCTCATCTAATTTCTTAAACTAAAAATAGCTGGCAGATGTATAAAATATATATAATTCACATATGATATATATTATATACTGACAAGATAGAGGTCTGGTTAATTCCTTCAAAAAAGAGCCCAGTCCTCTATGATACCAAACTGATATACAAGTATACCATTTTGGTATATAATACAAATTCATCTACTTCGCTACCTCAAAATCATTCAACCCAAACTTCACAGCTCTAGTGCAAAATCACCACCAAATTAGCTCAAAATTTAGCCACGACCTCCATACAAATTTTTGTTTAAAAAAAATTTAAAAAAAAAAAGGCGTGAAAACTCTATTGAAACATTGAAAAAGGTTCCAATGAAAAGGATACCAACCTGGTATATATATCATATACTAACAGGGTATCATAGAGGACTGGTTCATTCCTTTGACAAAAAAAAAAATACTCGCTAGTCCTCTATGATATACACATATGGTATATATCATTATTGACATGATATAGGTATGGTCACTCCTTCAAAAAAGAGCTCAGTCCTCTATGATACCAAACCGGTATACATGTATGCTATTTAGGTATATAGTATAAATTCATCTTTTTCGCAAGTTCAACTCAATTTCAATCCAAATTTCACAACTCTAGTACAAAAAGTCCACCAAATTGGCTCAACTTTAGCCACAACCTCCATTCAACATTTAAAAGTAAATATTTTTGTTTAATAAAAATTTGAAAAAGGCGTGAAAACTCCATTAAACATTTAAAAAGATTCCAATAAATTTAAAAAGGACCAAATTATAACGGTATACTATTATACTATACTCCCTCCGTTCCAATTTATGTGAACCTATTTGACTGGGCACGGAGTTTAAGAAAAAATAAAGACTATTGCAATTTGTGGTCCTAAACAAGTCAAAAAGGGGCCCAGAGTATTTGTGTGGTTATAAAAGCTTCTCATTAGGACAAAAATTGTAAGTTTAAGCTAAATTGTTACCAAATTTATAAAGGGGTCATTCTTTTTGGAACGGACCAAAAAGGAAATAGGTTCACATAAACTGGAACAGAGGGAGTACTATATATTATAAGAGTATACTGTTGGAATATATTGTATGAATTAAAATTATATACTAAAGTGGTATACATGTATACCATTTTGTTATACAATACAAATCCATCTTCTTCGCTAGTTCAACTTAATTTCAACCCAAATTTCACAACTCTACTGCAAAATCTCCACCAAATTGACTCAAACTTTCGCTAAAACTTCTAATTAATATTTCAAACAAACCCCAAGCAGAATTAGATCAAACAACTACAAACTCAACAAGTCCACTACATGTGTTTCCGGCTTCAAGGTCCTTCAATTGTGCATTTGATTTTTTCTAATAATAAATCTCCAAAAATCTCTAGTATGAACTTTCTAAAGATACTATAAACAACTTTTTAAAATATCTAGTTTGAATCAAACAACAAATCTTAATGTTAAAATTCCAATTCAAAAGCTTCAAGCTCAACAATGGCGGGCTACAAGTATAAATGCTTAAGCTCAAACCATTCCCTCTGAGAATCCACAAAAAGAAAAAAAAATTCATCATATATGTTAGGAAAGTAGTGATTTCTCCATATTCTTTATAAATAGTTGTACTAAATAATGAGTTAAGCACATAAGTGAGAAATGGGGGAAGATGGTCATAGTAACAATAACGTCGTGACTTGTGAATGCAACGCCTTGGCAGAAGATAAGTGAAAGGGCAGGTAATTTTCTAACGGTATGGGTAGTCTTTGTAATTAATTTGAGGGTAGATAATTAGTTTAGGTTTTATGAATATTTTTTGTACATTCCCCAGCATTTTACCCCCCAATGTGGGATTTCCCAGCGCGAATCTGGATTTAGTCAAGCCCCAATGTGGGTACCGGACACCGGGTGGGAAACCCAAAAAAAAAAAAATAAGGTCCAACACTTTGTTACTTTTTGAATGTCAGCTCACCGTTGGTCAATCTTTTCTTTTAGCTCATTATACAAAATGTAAAAATGTATGGACAACTTGTGGAAAGCCAACACTTTAAAAAACATTGTTTCATTTGATTTGTTTAAACTTTAAAGTAAGAAACTCATTTAGAGAGGTGCAGTAAAGTATTCTGTCCCACTAATGCTTTATTTGATTGGTTCATTAATATTTAATATTGACCAGTAAGAATCAGGCAACCTTGTATTTCCCAATCAGTGTTTTCTTTTTCTTGAACTTTTGTCCGCTATTGTTTCTACATGGTCAGCTTGTCTTTTTTCTACCAATTAACCACGCCATCCTTTCTAGATTTCCACTCTGAAGTGCTTTTTATGCTAATATGAGTTCGTCACCGTGCTTAGTATATATTTTAGTTTGAGTAGCACAGAATAACTTGTATAATTAATCTCTACACTTGATGTGCAAAAAGAATAGTATGTTAATTAAAGACTTTCGTTCAGTTTTCACTTGTTATACTGCTTAGCCTGAATCGCAATATATGTTTGATCACAATAAATGTAACACAAAGCAATAATTTGTTCCAATCCTAGCGAACTCGCTAATTATACTTTTTTAGCAATACTTGACAAGATAAAAGGAAGGCTGACATGTGTCGCACTCGTAACAATACAATTAAACTAGTCTAAATTCATAATAATACAGCGTGGAGGAGACTGTTTGACCATTGTACTGTTTGGTGACAAAATCATATGCAATTCCTCATTCTTTTTTTTTTAAAGTTTAAACAGAAACTCCGTCCCTTAGCTATTTCTTCTCCGCTTGAGTCAAAAAACAGGACCACCAAATGGCATAATCACTAAAGAAAATCACGCCCTCTTATGTTTTTCAATTAAAAGATGTTTCCATTTCAATCATCATCTTGATTTAAATCTCCTAGTAATCTTATCATAAGAACTTTTCTATTCCACAACTCGCACGAGATATGCAAATATCTGCCTTACTATTTTTATTCTATTTGTGAACAAGAGTAACAATGAAATTCGTAAATATAAAAAATTGCCAAAAATAGACGAGCAAAGGCTTACCAAACTGGTTCTATCTGATAGACGCTTAGTAGTCGTTATATAATGATGAACCGTGTTTATCATTGTGGCTTACTCGGTTTAAGCGTTTCATAAGAGAAAGAAAGATGGAACGAAACACACCAAAATATTTTTAGATAGAAAAAGAATGGAAAAGGTTATATTCTTCTCCATTTCCTGCTAACTGCTAAGTAAATCTATTGAGAAGAAAAATACCACCGCCTCGGAGAAGCGCATAAAAAAAAAAAAGGCAAAAATAGCCAAAAATAATGGTGATCCTCCAAATTTTCTACTTATATACAACTAATACATTACAACAGCTTAGGCTGCTGGTAAGATTATCTCTCCCTACTCTAAAAAGCTGGGCCAATCTACAGCACTACTCACTAATTCGCCACCAATACCAATATCCGTCCTTTTGAGAGCCTTTAGTTTTGATGGTTTTATTAAGAAAATTGGTTCCAAAAATCATATTGGCCGACCAGGTAAAAGTCCTACCTAGTTGCAGCACCCCGCCTTTTCTTTCAACCAACACATGCATCAACATTTGGATCTTGATTAAAACTTAAAATAAGACACTTTTCTAAAGGCCTCAAATATAATTAAAGATCAAGGAACCCATTCATGGCTGACGCCTGTCGATACTCAACGGTTTGCCCTTCCTTACCTTTTATCTATGAGTTTTAATTCCATGCACAGCCAACTTAAACCAATTCTACACCATCAAATCACTTATAAGATTATCATTAATAAAATCTCCATAATAAGCATTAATTAATAAACTGATAAAACTAGTAACTATTCTGTTATCATTATGCGATACTGCTAGCGGAAACAATCTTTACACCATCAACTTAAATCCTCTCTCTCTCTCTCTCTCTCTCTCTCTCTCTCTCTCTCTCTCTCTCTCTCTCTCTCTCTCTCTCTCTCTCTCAAAGTGCTTGGTACTCCCCCACCCTTCTTTTATTCCAAGAATCGTGCATGTCTCTTATAGGCTTGTTCACACTAGCTAGTAAGGACTATAATAAATCAAGCCAGCGACAATACAGATAATATTAATATTTGGTTAAAAGCTAAAGCTTACCTTTATGAAACAATTTCTAAACGCCAGCTCGACTGGGTGAAATGATTATGAGTGTCTTTGATCATTGTATATTATTTTGATCTCCATCATATTTTTCTCCGTAATTTTATTTGTATGGTTTTGAATAAATGTATAGAATATGTCATGGCTTCCATTTTAGGATAGACGGCAGTGATCACAAATGTTATGCTTCTACCAGGAATGGTATTAAAGACCCTACACCAGGCAAAGTATAATCGTGAAAAAACTTCCAGCTCAATAAGCGAGCAAATATATCAGAGTTCCGATATAATCCTTATCATAGATGCTGGTGACATTTCATATAATATCAAATGCTTATTTTTAAAATTCCATTCAATTCCAGATTATTTCTTTCAGTCTAATCAAATTGCTTATACATAACTAATTTTTTGAGAAATAGCAATTGTGCTTATACAATACTAATTACAATCCTGGCATGCAATATCGAAAGCTATATATAGATATTACAACAGCCTATGTGGAAGAATTATGAGCTCCAAAAAAGAAAAGGTAAAAAGTACACTTGCCTGTTATGAGACATGAAGATTTTGGATATCAATTCGCAATGCTTTCAGTTTCTTCTCAATATTTGTCAATTCTTCTGCAGTCGCCAAAACTTTATCCAGTCTATGTTGCGCTCTATCTTGATATGGCTTGCCAATGAGTTTTACAAAGTCTTCCACATTCCTTGTTGTCTCCAAGAGATCCTTCTGCATAGCCTCTTCAAGTTCACGTGCAAGGCCATCAGCAGTCCTCTTTACTTTATCTACCACCTGCTGCCTCCGGGATGAGAAGTTGGAGACTGCTAATAAACTATTAAAGACAGCTTTAGTTAGGATACTATCCATGACGTAGAAATCAAACAAATTCTGAAAGAAGGAAACAAATTCCTTTCAAATAAAGATAATGTGCAACACTTCTCCAGACATGCAAGAACTCAATGAGCAAATCATTATAAAGATATTCATCAGGAAATAATTAGTTCACACAACCAGTGGAGGAGCTAGTAGACACCTCTCTTTTCTTCTCTTTTTTCCCCTTTTTGGAGAGAAAGAAGCTTATAATACCACTTATTAGGTTCTGACCGATTCTGAGGAGATCTTACATCTCATTAGCACTTAAGCTTTATCTAGTGATTCCCCATTTAAAAGCCAATCAGACACATACGAGAACAACAATGAAAGACTTTCAATTCGAACAGAAGGAACAATCATATATATTTGCTCAGACCAGGATCTACAGTATGGCATTATTTTACAGGGCCATATGGCATTAAGATATGCTCAAGTTAGTACACGCGTTTAACATTGAAATGCCAGGAGACAGGAATCGTTAACCTCAATGAGCCAGCAGTTAATGTCCAATTACAACATATTGAAACAAAACTTGAAGCTCTAACTGACTTAATGTTAGTTAAATCAACCAAACACACAATATGCTCTGATTAGACAAACCTAAGATTTTCAATGGGTTAGTGATCTTTGTGCCAAACAAAGCAGATTACCTCTCAAATAACAGAATGCAAATCAGAGCTATTAGTAACAATATGAATTGATTCATCATAAGAAAGAATGGGTTGTTATCCAACCTATACAAGCAAGGTGGCCGCTGTCAAGAAGTTTTGGGAAATTCTATTAAATGAAAATAAAGATGTAACACTTTGAGAAAATTAAAGAACAAATTAGCAAAGTTAAATTTTAAAAAAAAAAAAAAAAAAAAATACCCGCCAGCGGAACAAAGGCCAAGAGCAAGGAGATCCTCTAATGTGGTTGGAAGAACAGATGTTAGAAGTGATGCTGATAAACCAGCTGCTCCAAGACCACCAAAAGTACCCAAGAACTGAAAAGGGAATGAGCTCCTCAGACATTTGTTTTGGGTAAATCATATCTTAAATAACATATGTATCCTTCAAAATTACGGACACCTATACAAGTCATATTGCACACCCGACAAATGGCTTTGCCAATGACCTAGCAAGCAAAACTGATTTCCTCTCCTAACTATCTCGAATGTCTAGGACCTGAAAAGAGCGTCAAACTCGCTTAGAAGGTATGAAATATTATCTATCAGCTAACTGGATATAGAATGGTGAAATGTGGTTTTATTGGGGAATAAAATAGATAGAGGAGCTTAAAATAATAGGGCAGGATTAGTGTCAATCATTACTTCCCAAAAGAGCATCTGTTTTGGTCTTCCAGATGCACGAGAACCTCCCTATTTTTTTGCTATTGTTCAAAAAGTGATAGTCCAACAACGAACATTAGCATTGAACTAAAAGAATTTCAACTGCTATGAGTGAATGTAGAAAAGGCATCTTTCTTTGACACTATGAAAAGAACTACAACAATATAACAAAATTCTCCCTCTCCCTTGTCTGTAAGAGAAAACAGGAAAGCCCCACAGACCTCTGTCTAAATCTATTACCATGAATGAAGTATGGCTACACATTTTACCTGATCCTCCACTCCCAAAAAGGAAAAATTCCACCTCTTTCAAAGGTTAAAATAAAGAATGAATAGGCAAAAGAAGTGTCTTGACAGAATGATAGTCAACAACTTGTGAATCATACCTAATTTTCTACTGAGGCCAGAACGCTATTAATATATGATGGAGATTTCCTTTTCTTTCTTCTTTTTTCTTGCGGCAAGGGGGGGGGGGGGGGTGTTTGGAGGAGTGGGGCAGGGGAATGAAGCAAAGAAAAGGATTGAGTCTAAAGTCATGCCAAATGTGATAGCTGACTTTAAACTCATGCAAAATCGGCAACGTGGTCCAAACTCCAGCAGAAGGCATAAACCAGTTAACATTAGCGGAAAAACGTACCACTTCACGAATTTCTCTCTCGAACAATTTTGAAGCAGCTGCAGCACTGAAATCCTCTATCACTCTTCTGCTAACTTCAGATTTTCTCTCCAACACGCCGATTGCGTCAAGCTCAACCTGGTCAGACGGATTAACAAATGAAGTCCATTTTTTCTCAAAAGACTGCTTATAGAATTGTCCTTCCTGGTCCCTCTTTGATTGTAACCACTTAGTGTACTCACCGAGAAGGTTCTGCATCCAAAGATAATTTTCATTGAGAATACAAAAGATTAGCTCTATTGCAACACAAACCCCTATCATCAGATTTAAACATACAACAAATCACTAGTCCTGGTTCTAATAAACAATATAATTAACAAATATATACACACAAGTTAAAGCTACAGATATCGAAGAAAATATCTTTCGATGAAATTGTCTCTATTCGGATAAGACTATCATATGGTAGAAGGAAAGGGTGAAGAAAAAGAAGACCACAAAGCTGTGTTCGGTTTTCCTAAAGATGCAGTAGCAAGAAGGTTGAAGAATATGATCCAAAATTCGTCTCTTAATATATAGAATTAATTGATTGTCTTACATTAATCATCAAGTGAAGTCACGATTCTCATCTTTTTCGACTTTTTTTTTTCCCGAGTTGAATTAAGTCCAATCTAACTTGTGTTCCTTCTTTTGGTTTCTAATTACGTCTAATATAATTTCTTTGTTCCGTTAAACCAATTATGACACCAATTACAATTTCCCAAATAAGTAATCAAGCATGATCATGTTTTAGTGGAGAAACCAATCCTTGAAAAACAGTAACTTCTCTATACTATAATTTGACTTGTACAAGGGCAATTTCACATGGTTACTTAGCACTCATCAATTGCTTTACTTCCTAAATGAGAAGGCAAGTTTGTAGAGTTGCGCCCATTCAAGAGGTTTTTTTCTTTCTCACACACACAGATAATCACAGTGAATATCAATTGGAGGTATTTTCCAAGGTACGTGGAGAGAAAAATATCTTCTTCATCGAATAATCTGCAAAAATCAAGTTCTGGAATATCCACCTTCATAACGTGGCAACAGAAGGGAAAATAATAAACTACTGCTGAATATTTCAATCATGCTTCCAACATTCTAACAGCTGAGGAGGATGACCGAGTTAAACTCCAAAAATGTAACTTTGGCTTTTTGATAACCGTTGAAGACAAAATTAAGTAAATAAAAGTGTGCCCTCTCTAAATTAAGCTTTTAGATGACATTGTCACATATTTCAACATCACAGCAGGCAGAGGTCCTGAGTTCGAGTCTCACCACCACCCATTATCAAAAAGAATTTCCACATGCTTGGCCCATGAAAAAAGAATCAAGCCCGCACGTGAAGGGGCGTGTTGAAGACAAATTAAGTAAATAAAGTGTGCTCTCTCTAAAGCTTAAGCTTTTAGATGAGATGGTCACATACTTCAACAATAACAAAGAAGAAAAACAGATAATTGAGTTAACTCTAACTAAGAACAGTAACGAGTGATGCACTCACTTGTCCTTCAAGAACTGCAGGACCGAGTATGTCATTTTGGACACTAGTGGTGACTGGCATCTGAGTAGATTTCTCTCCTCTGAATACATATGAAGTGACAAGATCAACATTTGACAATTGTAATGTTGATTCTACAAGCCGGACGACACGTGCTTGAGTAGAGTTTATCTGCATTTTAGTGCACGCAGCGAATATTAGTACAAAGGTATACAAGGGCATATGCCATGTGTTAGTTAAAATTTATAATAATACTGTGATAGTCACAATAACAGCAGCACATACCATAGATAGAACTTGCCTCTTCCACAAAATGCTATCAATTTCCAGCTTCTTTGTGCATTCTTTTACACTATTGACAAGATCCTCAACAAAGAGCAAGTCCTGTTTGGCTTGCTGGCATTCTTGTCTCACAAGTCCTTGACAAGCTGAAACTAGTTGTTCTGCAATGGCAATTGGAGTTCCAAGCTTCAGCTTCATCCTCTCGATTCCGGTACTTGTTGATGCATCCAAGAAGCTATACAAGTACTTCTCAAGTTCATAGAAGCCTTTGGTTTTCCAATGAAAATTATCATTTGAACTACGATTGCTTTGACTGAGAGCACCATCAAAAGTAGAAAGCTTCGCTTCAAGAGCAAGCCGTGCAGAAACTGGATACAGTGTTACACAATCTGTGTTCAGCAATTTCTGTGTATTTTCTTTGATAAATCCAATGGCCTCCTCCAACTACAGCATGAAGAAATAATAATAATAATAATAATAATAATAATAATAATAATACAAGACTAATCAAAATGGCCCAGCTGATATATCCACGGATAATAAGAAATTATTTCCTCACTCAACATTATCACAACAGCAAGAATGTATGACCAACCTCGCCCTTATTCTGGTATATGTCAGACTTATTCAGCACAAACACGACCTTTTTACTCCACTGCTGAGTGTAACGTAGAAAATTAACCTGATAAGCACCGTAAGTGCATGTGAGGTTAACTTTTGGCAAAAGAAGAACCTAAAATAAACATGACAACAGCCTACTGTATACCAAAAGAAAGACAAGCTAGAGAGATGACGAAAAGCACATGAAATTGAACTGTCTTTTGTATATCAGCAAGCCCGAGATATTAAACCTTTAGAAGTGATAGTCTCATTAAGGCTCCTTCAACACCTAACGGCTTGAATTCATCCACCTTTATGACTTTTTTTTTTTTGAGGGGGGATAAAAGGAAAGGATCATCTTTGGACAAAGAATTATTCCACCATTTTGCTGCCTTGCTTTGCTACTGAAAGATCTTAAAGAGTAATTTCAGAACTATATACTATTACTTTGACGAGTTTGATATTTATGAGACAAAGTGGGTCTCATAAACTTTTATGTTAGTACAATATTAGAGGTAATATGTGGTGAAAGAAAAAGGTCTCCATCCAAGTTAAGTAGACATCAGTTTATGACAATCAAAGCTCAGGAAAGACTATCTCTATGTTTAACATGCAAAAGAAACTCGATCTGTTTGGAAGAGAGTATTACCCAATCTTTAATTTCTAGCACATAGAAATGTAGCAACAACAGGACATCCAGATGATCCCTCAAAGAACTAGCCAGACTACTGAAAATTCATTTAGCTTCAGTCATAACAATTTTCTGTGTTAAGAGTTTTCTTAATAGTCAGGTCTAATCGGTGCTTGGAGTATGACTGGAGAAAAGAATACCCAAAGACTACATGCTAATACCAAAAGACTACATGCTAATTCATGACTCTCACAAAGAATACCACGCAAAAAATTTATAGTTAAAATTACTTTTTAGGGCCTGAAACACAAATATGACAGTGGCCGACATTAGCCTCACAGGTCAGAAACAGAAATATGACGGTGGCCGGCATTAGCACTAACAGGTGTGAGGTGTGCAACTAACGGTTCCTAGTTATGAGTACTTACTATAAATTCCAGTGATTGGTAAAAGCTAAAAGCAAAAGAGCATCAGGAACATCACATGCTCTTTTACAGTCATTAAATAAAGCAGGTGGCAAGAATTAAATCATAAAAGGCAGTTCATAAATCCTTATGAATACTACAGCACCTAACACATTTGAACTATAGAGTGAGATAATCAAATCCGAGACTTTTCGGAGATGGGAGGTATTGCTGTTGCAATGAAGCTCTAGTGACGTTCAAAAGATATCCGGTAGACCGGTCCTTAGCTTCCTCAAGCACCAAAACCCTTCCAATAAATGAACAATTTCCTTGTCCTAATCCAATCTAGCTACAACAGTTAAGCATGAAAATGAAGGTTGCTTAAAGGTAGCTGGCCAGTGCTACCACAAAATAAATACTTCCCTTACTCCTTCGCAATTGGAGGTGCTCTTTCCACCCTCGCCACAACTATGACACTTAGTGTTGTCAGATCGGCTGAGACAAAAAAGGTTGTCCCTTTGTTTCATAGTGCACTAAGTTTGTATTTAGGCACTAAGATGCAAAGAGACATGTTCCAATTCGCCTCAGTTTCTTGCCTTATTTTAACGCAAAACGTTTTTTTTTAATTGATAAGTTGTTTTCTAGGAGTCTTTTAGTCCTATATATATATATATATATATATATATATATATATATATATATATATATATATATATATATATATATATATATATATATATATATAAAGTAGAAAATATATAGAACTTTTACTACTTGTTGTTTTGATTTTTAATTTTATTATATATAATCTTGGACATATATGAGCTCAAATAGAGTGACGTGGACAATGAGGATGATATAGCCGATACCTACTTGCTTGGGATTGAGGCGTGGTTGTTGTTGTATAAGTTATTTTGACACATAACCTTATCTGACAATTGTACTGTAGATTGATTGAGATGAGAGCACAAAATCGGGTAATCTTGTCATGAAAAATTGAAACCGTATGCAATCCCACCTTAACCCAAATGTCCTCATTCTTGCGGGACACAGGCCTAAGACAGACAAGGTCCCAGATTCTATAACCTTAAAAACGCTTAACCGGTACTCATAAAAGTGACAAAACTGTACCTCACTTTCAGTTAATGGTCGATCAGCAGACATGACAAACAGAAGCAGATCTGCACGAGGCACAAATTCCTCCGTCAGCTTTTGTTGCCTTTGAAGAATCACATTGGTCCCTGGAGTATCAACAATAATCATCTGCCAGAACAGACAAATAAGAAATTAGAGCATGGAAACTAAGAACCCAAATCAAGTAGTGAGGCAGCTTATACGCGTAATCAAAATTAGATTAGCCAAATACAAAAGCAGATAATCTAACTTTCTTTCAAAGAGCTCTCTACGGAATTGCGACCAGGCATGTGGAGAGTTACTCCAAGCCATTTGAAGTCCAATTCTAAAGTTTAATCTAGATCTCAACTAACCCATATTAGTTACAAAATAGAGCGTTTAAATGCACACAGTTTAGAAAGCATTTAATATTTTGCATAAAGAACAAAATTCAGCAAAATATGTGCCGAATACTGGCATCAAAGTAAATGTGCCATGAACCTTCGAAACTAAAACTAGTAACAATTGGTGTGAAAAGCATATGTGCAATAAATTTTTGAAACTAAACAAACATTTGCAGATCACAATATGTAACAAATCAGAGAAAGTGTGCCAACCAAAATCTGCAGGGGGTTTTAATGTCATTGATATTCAAGTATGGAATAAAGTTGCTATCTGCAAGTTGTTATGGAATTTATGCAAGAAAAAGGATAAAGTATGGGTTCAAAGGGTCCATAGCTATTACATTGAAGGCAAGAAGAAGATACAGAAGGCAATGAAATATGTTGAAGAGGCTGGCATTAGTATGGCTGAATTGCAGGAAACTGAGTCCGTATCTGTTAGTTCCATGTATCAGAAATTAAGAGGCAGCTTCCCTAAAGTCCATTGGAGGAAACTACTCTGAAATAATTTAGGTTCTCCCAAATGGTTGTTTATCTGAAATATAGTTGCTCATGGAAATCTTTATACCAAGGACAGGTTGCATAGATGGGGGGTAATACCGGACCAGAAGTGTACCTTGTGCAAAGAGGAAAATGAAAGCATAGCTCATTTGTTTTTTGAGTGTGCTTATTCTGCTGGGATCTGGAGTAGTTTACTTAGATGACAAGGGATATCAAGGAACATTCAGAGTTTGCAGGATGAATTGCTCTGGGCTGCATCACATATGAACTAAAAGAAGCCACTTGCTGAAGTCTGTAGAAAGTCCTTAGTTGTATGTATTTTTTTATCTATGGCAAGAAAGAAATTGCAGGCAATTTCAAGGGGAGCAGAGGGAACTGAAGGTGCTAACAAAAAAGTGATTCAAGAGGTGTTTTGTAGGGGACAGCTGAAGCATAAACTGGCAGGAAGATTAGATCAATTAAATATTTATCCTTAGCTAGTTGAGTAGCAGATAGGAGTTTTGATGAATACTGGAGCTTGGGGCCTTCTGTCCAACTCCAGGTTTTCTTTCTTGATTGGGTTTTCTGTAAAGACTGTATAAAATTTCTATTTACCAAAAAAAAAAAAGTAATAAATGATCTTACAAAATTAAAAATTGCATATTAAACCAACAGAAAACAAAGTATCCAACTTCAAAATGTGTCCCAAATCAGGCCGAAAGACATAGTCAATAAGTGAGAAACACAAAACGGTAAGTCAATAGTGCCCTGTGATATGCCGGCGTTATTGACATATTCATCAACATTATTACTTGCACATACAATTATCCAACATGAACGAGATATCTATTTAAATTCCTTGATGAAATGTACCATTGGAAGTAGTAGCAATTTCAGACAAGAAAACTTACTTCGTTAAGAACTGAAGCCGGCAAGTAGCAAACATATTGCCCATCTGGATGCCTTGCACAACGCTGTGACTCATCGACATCCGACTCAGCATAGCGCAAAAAGGTGATCTCATTTGTTGTAGGAACAACACCATCTTTCAAGTATTTTTTCCCGAGAAGAGCATTGATGAAAGTAGATTTTCCAGAATTGAATTCTCCCTGGTTAAGCAAGAAATTAAGAATTCACAAGAAAGAAGGGGATGAAGTATTAATAATAATGTGTATGCTGAATATGGTATATTATATGGACTTGAGAAAACAGTAATATGGGAGAGAGAGACAGACAGACAAACAGAGATAAAGTATTAATAATAATGTGTATGCTGAATATGGTATATTATATGGTCTTGAGAAAACAGTGATATGGGGAGAGAGAGAGAGAGAGAGAGAGAGAGAGAGAGAGAGAGAGAGAGGCAGACAGACAAACAGAGATAGAGACAGACAGAAAGAGACAGAGATAAGAGGTAACAAATTATGGAAAAAAGAAATACTGCAAAAAAGATGTAAAAAGAAACTTGTATAAACAGAATTTTCGCATCTACAAGATCTTAGTTTTAGGCATTAGCTTAAAATTTAGACTGGACCAGAGAAGGAAATACTCATTTGAAATTCAGAGCTAATACCCATGCATATCCCTGGAACCAGAATTTGCTGAAGTTCAGCGCACAATTACCACTATAACCAGTAAAAATGGTTCATCAAGTTGAGAAACAGCATCACTGAGAAGTGAGACCTCCTCCATCTGCCATTCCAGTAGTAGCCCAGGTTAGTCTAAACAAGCAAACCACTGATAGAAGAATTCTTATCTGTAGCACAATTCAGCAGCTAAACTTTGACAAAAGAAGATCACCATTGGAGCTGCTTTTTCAATAACATGTATGGCCTCGCGCAAAACCAGTTTTTCTTTTTCTAGCAACTGCTGCTCCCTATCATGTAAACTGGTAAAGCCAGCCATTGCCTTCCTACCAGGAAAGCCATTCCCCAAGTCCAAAACGTTAAGCTGACTGTTACTTTGAACTTTTTCCTCTGTTTTGTTCTTCAATGCATATGCACTGTAAAACAGTTTGCCAAAATCATCATCACTCACAGACTTCAAATCTTCCATCGAAATAACTACTCCACTAGCCCCTGATTCAAGTAAATTTAATGCTTCATTGAACAACTCGCGACCGCCAAGTGAACCAATCATGACAAAAACAGGAATTTTCACATGCTCAAATACTGAGCTCACCAGCTCCTCATGTTGGCTATTGCCACCGACGTCATATATAAGAAAATCAGCTCCTTCAGAATTAGAAGCGTCCACTGCAGCAGTAGGTGTTTGTACAATTCTTGCTACCAAAGGAAGAACTACTAACTCTTCAGATTTTGAATCCATCATTGTATTTCTGGCCACGATAGCAGGAAGATCTGTTACAAAGGAGAATAGGTTATCAACTGCAACGAATTTACATAGCAGGCCACTCACTTTAGACAACAGTTCTTGCATCTAAAAGATAAACCACAAATCTTTTAAAGTTTGCATTCAACCAAAGCCAAATGAGTGAACCCAAAACTGAGAGTCAGTGGTGGCTAATTTTTAGTTGGTCAGAGATTATTGCCAAAGTTAGCGAAGTTTGAACTTATGATTCATACACAGTTAGTTTCAGGATGAACCACCGTAGACACTAATAATCAACATTTGTTTCATTGAGTATGTAATAATCAACATATTACACTTAGCGATATCTCAACAGATATATATTATATAGGAAACAGCTTCATTCAACGCCCCATCATGAATAACCCTATTGCAACTAGTACTCGTAATTTTTTTAATAAGTAAAAGTTACCAGTACTAGTTGTTGGGATCGAAATAACATGGTGCACGCGGAAACTAACAATACAAAGCTTGGTGGACGATAAATCAGACGACAAAAGAAAAATATACTAAACTAAGCATAATAGTTTATAATGGTTTGGTCAATTGATCTACATATGATAAAACCAATATAAAAGAAGAAAAACTATCGAGAGAAAAATCTCCCCCTAAACAAAACTCTTTAATGACTACATTATGGATATTTTTTTTGTGCCCTTGTGAGAAGCAGAGATCCTTAATTTATAGATGTGCAAAACTTGTCTTCCAAGAATTGGATAAAACATATTAAGGAGATTTAATCCTTTTAGGAGTCTTTTTCCATTCCTTCAAGAAAGAGAGTCCTAATAGATTAGAAATTCAGGTCAAATCCTAACACTAGTGGCTAATAAAATTACTAGCAACTATATGTAACAAATAAAGTACGTGTCTTGGTTATCTGAGATTACAACTTTATGCAACAAAACATACTAACATGAACGTCTTAGGGTATCACTCAATCAATCACCTACACCTCAATCCCAAACAAGTAAATTTAGCTATAATGGTGAATTGGCGCTAAATTAAGGTCATCACCTATTAAGATGGCCAAGTAGTTTTACATTTTGCACAATATTCATTTCGAATTATCAGACAAACCATCATAGCACAAATTCAACGTGTAAGGTGAAGTACATAACACAAAACGGTAAGTACCATGTTACAGAACATAACCTTGATCAGAGAGCAGAACTCCATTGGCACTAATCGCGGCGGCAATATCAACACGTCCATCGATCAACAAGTAAGCCCTGCCTTTAATTACAGATTTCAACAAACACGCAGCCTCGTACAACTTCCCGCCGCTTGCTCCACCGCCACTGAGCACCACAATGTCAACCCGACCCGAAACCGCCCGGTCTATCTCATTAATAACGGTTTCATCTTCCAACGCATCTTCGCAGCTCAGCTTTAGCACTAGGCTGGGCACTTTGATTTCCGGCCGCTTATATCCACCGGGGAAAAGCGTTCTAGGAGCTTGTTCGGGTCGGTTTAGATTGTTTATCACGAGCTTGACATTGACCCCAGGGGAGGAGTACACGGAGTAGTTATTTCGGCGACGCCGGAAGTGCAAACACTGGCGACGCGTGGGATGGGAAAAGAGAGGGCACGGCGAACGGACGGTGGAGTTTGGAGTTTGTAGAGATACCATAGAGAAGAACGAACTTTTGCGTGCACGAAGCTTTGTTTTTGTAACGGCGACGACGGAATTTACGGCGGAGCACGGCGGTGGAAGGGAAGGAAGGATGACGGAGAGGCCTTATCTTATCTATATTGTGCTCAGAGTGAAGTGAGAACCAGTGGAGCAGCTTCAAGTAAAGCGCCAATTCTAATAACCAAGTAACCAACTTCTTTTGCTTAGATTTATAATTCAAAATCAAATCTCTTTTTGGTCCTTTTAAACCGAATCATCATAAATATAATCACGAGAAAGTAATTTCCTTCTTTTTTTCTGTAAAATGTGATGCTTTTTGATTGAAAATTAAGATATTAATAATTTGATTTGTAGTATTAATAGTAGTGGAAGAAATATAATTGTTCATGATTTAATTGGTAAGAATCAGTATAGAAAAGTTCTAAATTTGAATGGTTTAATAAATTGAAATTCTTGAAATTTCTGAAAGTTCTATAAAAACATAATGTTGACAAACATTTTGACTTATTATACATATTATAATTTAACTTATAAATTAGAGATAATTAAAATAGTAGTAAAATATTTTTATTATTGGTTTGACATATTCTTTGTTTACAAATATACTAGTATTAGTACTCATGCGATGATCTAACAATATTAAGAATATTAATCATGTTAAGTTGTAATTTGAGTTACATGATTCAAATAAGAAACTTCTATATCTATGTTTTGACCATAAATAATTTGAGTAAAAAATCTATATATTATTAAAAGGAGAGGAAAAAACCATCTCCTTAAGCCAAGCGGCAGCCTAGAAAAAAGCCACATGGCATAAGTAGTTAATATTAGTTATTTAGTTAATAATTAGTTATTGGTTATTGTTCTTGAATTTAAGTATCTGTAAAATAATAAATAAAATATTTTATTTTAAAAAACGAAAATAAAAAAAAATTGTCCATTCAAATTGGAGAGTAGTTTCAAGTTGGAATTTTTAAATTATTTTAAAATAAAAAACAAAAATTACAAAAAAAAATTGCCAATTCAAAATATCTTTGCTTTATTTAATAGATTTTTGTTTTTCTTTTTAAAAACAAAAAGTTTATTTATTTAGAAAATATTATTGAGAATAATAGAATAAACTAAAAAAAATATCTTCTATTATATTGTAAAAAGAAAGTAGCATGCAAAAATTTAAATCTACATATTATTTATCTATATATTATTAAAAGGAGAGGAAAAATCCATCTCCTTAAACCAAGCGGCGGCCTAGAAAAAAGCTGCATGGCATAAGTAGTTAATAATTAGTTATCTATATATTATTAAAAGGAGAGGAAAAATCCCTCTCCTTAAGCCAAGTGGCAGCCTAGAAAAAGCCACATGGCATAAGAATTTCTATTAACAATGTAAAAATACTAAACATTGAATAATCGGGTAAAGAAAATATATAACAAAAAATTTATTCAATGACTATATAAGTCCCTTTAATTTAATAGAGATCTTATTATTGGGTGTATCATATTGATAAATAAGTTTGCAATTCAAATTTATTAAGGCAATACGATCTAATATGTTCAAACAAGCCCGATCACAATTTAATTTAACTTATACAACAACAACAACAACAACAACAACAACAACAACAACCTAGTAAAATCCCACAAGTGGAGTCTGAGGAGGGTAGAGTGTACGCAGACCTTACCCCTATCCACTCGGGGGGTAGAGAGGCTGTTTTCGAAAGACCCTCAGCTCGAGAAGAAGAAAAATAAACAATAGACAAAAGACAATAGACCAGTGACAGCAATAGAAGATAAAAAAATTGTAACTGCATCATAAGAAATAGAAAAATAGATGTAAAAGCAATAACTATAAACAACAATACTACCATAGGAAATAGTGAAACTACATAAACCACTAACAACTCACAGCGAAACATCAACAGGCCAGGCCAGCCCCCGGAACAAAAAAAACGCTCAACTCCCTCCTAACCTACAACCCTAATACCTCCACCCCTTCCTATCCAGAGCCATGTCCTCGGAAATCTGTAGTCGCACCATGTCCTGCCTGATCACCTCAACCCCAATACTTCTTAGGTCGTCCTCCACCTCTCCTCGTACCCGCCAATGCTAACTGCTCACACCTCATAACCGGGGCATCTATGCTTCTTCTCCGCACATGCCCGAACCATCTAAGCCTCGCTTCCCACATCTTGTCGTCCATGGGAGCCACTCCCACCTTCTCCTGAATATCTGCATTCCTAATCTTATCCAGCCTAGTGTGCGCGCACATCCATCTCAACATCCTCATTTCTGCCACTTTTATCTTCTGGGTATGAGAATTCTTGGCTGCCCAACACTTAGCCCCATACAACATGGTCGGTCTAACCACCACTCTATAGAACTTGCCTTTGAGTTTCAGTGGCACTATCTTGTCACACAAGATTCCATATGCTAACCTCCATTTCATCCACCCCACTCCTATACGGTGTGTGACATCCTCGTCTATCTCCCTATCCCCCTGAATAATTGACCCAAGGTACTTGAAACTTCCTCTCTTAGGGATGACTTGTGAGTCAAGCCTCACATGCATGTCCGCTTCCCCCGACTCATCGCTGAACATACACTTCTGTCTTAGTCCTACTCAACTTGAAACCTTTAGCCTCAAGGGTCTGTCTCCAAACCTCCAGCCTCTCATTAACGCCGCTTCGCTGTCACGACCCGGAATTCCCACCTTCGGGATCGTGATGGCGCCTAACATTTCACTTGCTAGGCAAGCCAACGTTAGAGAATTCACAAATAAACTTCAGCCAATTTAACGATAGAAATTAACTAAGCTAAACAGAAGATAAACAGAATTTGCAGAATATTATAAAACCCAAAGTAACAGAAACATTTAGGATCTGGAGTCACAACTCACGAGCTACTGCGATTTACTACATACAAAGTCTGAAAGATAATATACTGTTCTGGAAGAAAGAAACAGTAAAGTAACAAGTCTAGGAAAAGACTCCAGGGTCTGCGAACGCCAGCAGATCTACCTTGGTCTCCTGTCGATCAAGTCCAGCTGCTAAACTCGGGGTCAACTCGGGCCAGTACCAAAATTTGCACAAAAAGTGTAGAGTGCAGTATCAGTACAACCGACCCCATGTACTGGTAAGTGCCGAGCCTAACCTCGGCGAAGTAAAGATGAGGCTAGGACAAGGCACATACATAAACTTGTGCAATTAAACAATATACGAGCACAATAACAACTAATAGAAGCTAAACAAATAATAATGGGAGGGAAAACATGCCGAGGGGATTGCAAGATAAAGAATCACAGCAATAGAGAAATTTAAAGAGCTAGTACACCTTGAACCAGTAACAACAAGTAAATACAATAACGGAAAACGCACGGCATCACCCTTCGTGCTTTTACTCTCAACCTCACCAGATAATCAATAGAAACGGCACGGCATCACCCTTCGTGCTTTTACTCTCAACCTCACCATATAAGTCAAATAAGAATGGCACGGCATCATCCTTCGTGCTTTTACTTCTCACCATATAAATCAAATAAGAATGGCACGACATCACCCTTCGTGCATTAACACTCTCCCTCACCAAAACCAGGAACAATAATAATAGGGAGATAGAAATGACAACAACAAACCTTACTTCAACAATTACTTCCACAATATCAACCTCGACTTTGAGTCAATACTCAATCAATACCAAAATTCGTACATATGATAAGAACAATCAACATAACAATAAACTAGTCTAAGCATGGATAATACGATCACGGAAAGCTACAGTTTTATGAATAGGACTCACTAGCATGTTATGACTCAACAACAATGCATAGGTACTCGTCACCTCACCTATACGTTGTTCTCAACATTCAAACACGTAGCAAATAGGCAAATAAGACCTAATCCCTCATGCCAAGGTTAACCACGATACTTACCTCGCTCCGCGGGCCACTCAATGCTCAATTACCGCTTTTCCTATAGTATCCACCTCACAACCACTCGTATCTAGCCACAATTAACTCAATAACATCAATTATTGCTAAAGGAATCAACTACAATGCATGAATTTAGATTTCTCAAACTTTCCCCCAAAAAGTCAAAAACTGATCCCGATCCCGCTTGGTCAAAACCCAAGGTTCGGACAAAAATCTATTTACCCACTCACCCCCGAACCCAGATATACAATTGGTTTTGGAATCCGACCTCAAATCGAGGTCTAAATCCCCAATTTGCAAAAATCCCCAATTCTTCCTAAATCCCTAGTTTTCTACCATGGAAGAACAAAGATTAGGGCTAGGAACTCAATGGGTGATGTTGGAAATGGAAGAAAATTAGTTGAAGAGTACAAACCTATGATTTGGTGATGAATTCCCCCTTCAGCTCCTAGGTCGACTTCTAATGAAAGAGTTGTGAAATTTTTGAGAAAATCCCGTTCTGGTCTGTTTTTAAATCACTGGGCAGGCCTTCTTCGCATTCGCGTTCGCGAAGGGCCTGCCGTGATCGCGAAAGCAGCGGCCCAAAGGCCTACGCGTTCGTGAAGGTTGCTCCCTCCTGGCCTTCGCGTTCGCGAGCTAGTGCTCGCGTTCGCGTAGAAGAACGGGTATCCCCTCCCCCAGGTCCCTTACACTACGCGTTCGCGAGATGCCGGTCTCGTTCGCGAAGGGTAAAACCCCCACTGCTCCGCGTTTCGCGACCTGGCTTATGCGTTCGCGAAGAACAAAAATCACCCAGCTCCAGTTCACTCTTTGCGTTCGCGAGAGTACCTTCGCGAACGCGAAGAAGGAAACCAGAAAGCACTGAAGCTGAAGAAAATAACAGATTTTTCTAAGTCCAGACCTCACGTAGCCTATCGGAAACTCACCCGAGCCCTCGGAGCTCCAAACTAAACATGCAGACAAGTCCTAAAACATCATACGAACTTGCTCGCATGATCAAATCGCCAAAATAACACCTAGAACTACGAATTTAGCACCAAATCGAATGAAATTTTCAAGAAAGCTTTAAAACTTCTATTTTCACGACCGAACGTCCGAATCACGTCAAATCAATTTCATTTCTCACCAAATTTCACAAACAGGTTTTAAATATCATAACGAACCTGTACCGGGCTTCGGAACCAAAATACGGACCCGATACCAACAAAATCAAGCATTAACCAAATTCTTAAAACCATTCGATTTTTCAGTCTTTCAATTT